CAAAACTTAGCATTCGGTTCTATAGGTGTTTCGACTGGTTTGGCACCTAACAGCCCTGTTTCTTCAAATAGGTCAAGGACATATTTCCTTTGACACAAGTTAATTCCATGCCTTGACCTTGCAACTTCTATTCCCAGGAAGTATTTCAACTTACCAAGATCCTTCGTGTGGAAGTGATTCTATAGGAAGTTTTTCAATCTGTCAATCCCATTTCTATCACTGCCAGTTATGACAATATCATCCACATACACCACTAGTAAGATTTTACCATCTTTTGAGTCACGGATAAACACAAAATGATCTACTTGACATTATTTCATCCCAAAGTTCTTCACTACTTCACTGAATCTACCAAACCACACACATGGAGATTGTTTTAGCCCATAGATTGCCTTTTTAAGTTTACAAACTTTACCATCCTCCCTTTGAGCAACAAATCCTGGGGGTTGCTCCATATATACTTCCTCAATCAGATCACCATGYAGGAAGGCATTCTTGATGTCTAGTTGCAAGAGAGGCCAATCACACATTGCTGCTAATGAAATTAATACTCAAACTGAGCCAATTTTAGACACAAGAGAGAATGTCTCTATATAGTCAACACCATATAACTGAGAATAGCCCTTGGCCACTAACCTGGCCTTTAATCGTTCCACACTGCCATCTGGAAGATACTTCACTATGTAGATCCACTTACACCCAACAACATCCTTATCAGGAGGGAGAGTAGTAAGTTCCACGTGTGATTGTGTTGTAAAGCAAACAATTCCTCTTCCATTGCTTGTCGCCACCCTAGAGAGATAAGGGCTTCCTGGACAATCTTGAGAGTGGAAACAGAGGAAAGCAAAGATGTAAAATGACGATGGAAAGCAGAAAGGTGAGCAACTGACACATAATGAGAAATAGGATGAGATGTACAACTACGTTTACCTTTCCGCAAAGCAATAGGAAGATCAAGGTCAAAAGGAGGTGCAGCCACAGGATCTGTCAACGAGGACTGAACTGGAGGAGGGGCTAGTGCTCTTCTGTGAGTATACACTTTTTTGATTGGTGGCCTCTCAGTAGTAACCTACACTGGAGATGGTGGGGATGGAACAAGAACCACGGGAAGGGGATCCACAATCGGAACAGGAACCACGAGAAGGGGGTCCTCAACTGGAACAGGAAGTGGAACCACAGGAGCAAGAGAAGGAGCCTCAGTACTCGAGAAAAATGGGACTGACTCAAAGAAAGTAACATCCGAACACACAAAAGACCGATGGGAGCTAGGCTTATAACACTTATACCCTTTTTGGGTCCTGGAATATCCAAGGAAGCTGCATTTGGTAGCACGTGCATCTAACTTGTCTAAACCAGGTCCTAAATTTTGAACAAAGCGAACACAACCAAAGACTCTAGGAGTAAGAGAGAATGGAGAAAGAGTAGGGAACAAGACTGAGAAAGGTGATTGACTTCTGAGGATGGACATGGACATCCGGTTGATGAGGAAACATGATGTCAGGACAGCATTACTCCAAAGACGCTTTGGAACATTCATATCAAGCATAATGGACCGAGTGATTTCAAGTAAGTGTCGATTTTTCCATTCAACAACTCCATTCTGTTGTGGGGTATAAGAGCAAGAAGTTTGATGAATTATCCCATGATGCTCTAGGTATTCCTGAAATGGTGTGAGGTGTATTCTTTTGCATTATTTGAGCGGAGAATTTTGACATGAACACCAAATTGAGTACGTATTTCAGCACAAAATTTTTGAAAAATATAGAACAATTCACTTCGATCTTTCATAAGATAGAGCCATGTCATCCTTGAAAAGTCATCAACAAAAATTACAAAATACTTATAACCATTGTATGACACTACTTTATTTGGACCCCAAACATCTGAATGAACTAAAGAAAAAGGACTCAAGACACAACTATCAACTCTTGGATTAAAAGAGACTCTATGGTGTTTCCCAAGCTAACACGACTCACAATCCAACGATGGAAAATGACTTAAGGATGGAACCAACAACTTTAGAGCCTTGAGAGATTAGTGACCAAGTTTGCGGTGTCATTGGAGAGGAATAAGAGATGACTGAAAGGCTACTAGCAGGCCACCACCATCAAAGTAATACAATCCACTTGCCTCATGCCCTCCACCAATCTTCATCCCCGTCTTGAGATCTTGAAACACACAAGAAGAGGGATAAAAGGTTATAGACCAATTAAGTGACTTGGTTAATCTACTAACAGACATAAGGTTAAAAAGGAATTTGGGTACATATAAAACAGAGGATAAAGATAAGGAGGTGAGATCAACATCACCAACACCACAAATGGGAGAGGTAGAACCGTTAGCAAGGGTAATTGTTTGGGATGTAGAAGACTGTGAAAGTGAAGAAAACACATTTGGAGTCCTAGACATATGATCCAAGGCTCCAAAGTCAATGATCCAGTGTGAGGGTTTGGAAGCCAAGCAAGCCATACTTGAATGGGCAAGAGTAGTTGTATTCTGCTGAGAGGATGTCTGAAGGAACTTCTCATATACCTCACGTGGTACACTCACCATTTCCTCCCAGAAGCACCAGTAGATGTGCAGGGGGTCTAAACAGTCTACTAGTTTTCACTAACTGTACCACTGCCACTAGTCACAGCATGGAGTGTTGGGTGGACCATGTAAATCATAGCAAAAATTAATGGTATGTCCCTCTAATCCACAGTATGTGCATTTCCTAGTTCCATTACTTCTTCCTCTACCACAACCTTCCCTAACTCTTGGCCTCCACTGCGGCCACTAGAACGATTAAACATAGGACCACCTCAGTTTCCTGGAAACCCACAGCCACCACTTCCACCACCTCTAGTTCCACGACCTCCCCCTCTAGTCACCACAAAACTAGATCTGTCCAAGAGAGAAGACTCTGTAGAATCAATAGGAATCCTCCGAAGACGGGCAAACACTTCTCCAAGAGAGGGGATAGAAGACCCTCCCAGTATTTGTGCTCGAACATGTTCATATTCAGCCTTTAGACCCACTAGAAACCTTGTCACATCAAGTTGCTCTCGCTGTTGTTGCTGAACTTGAACATCTGGTGTTAGAGGATGATATACATTAAGCTCATTACGGAGATTTCTCATGTTTGCATAGTATTCCTCCAAGCTTTGGTTACCTTGCTTCAGATTAAAGTACTCTTGGTAAGGCTGATATACACTAGTGGTATTATCTTGGCTGGAATAAAGTTTCTTAGCATGGTCCCAAATTTCCTTGGCCGTATCTAGGATCATAAAATTCATACTAATTTTAGGTTCCATGCTATTCCACAACCAGGTCATAATCTGTGCAACCTCCTGTTCCCAATCACTAAACCCTAGAGAATCAGAGGGGGGTTTCTCCTCTTTCACATGTTTTACTTTTTTCTTGGCTTTTAAAAACACTTGCACAGATTTGGCCCATGGCACATAGTTCTCACCATTCAACTTAATAGAGGTCATTTGAACATTTAAGTAATCGGGAGAAATCATAACACCTGCCTTATTGTCACTACCATCTCCAGTTGACGCCATCCTAACCAATTCACCTCACTTCACAAAGAAATCACTATTATAAACAAAGTAATCACCTTCTACTATTCAGCACCACACCACACACTACTCAATAAAATATATTTATGACCACACTGCTACTGTCATGACTGCAGCATTCGAAAACCCTACTTTCAGCTCACATATCCAGGTATAAACAGAAGGAAAAGAGGTTCATATGCATACCTACCAAACCACGCTGTCACATGAATGAAATCCAGACCAAAAGGAAGCAGCCGCAGTTCACTACTAGCCGAATAGGAATTTCTGTTCACACCTGTTCACAGTCAGCCCTCTTCGTGCCATCGAATAGAGGGTATTTAGTACACCACCATAACGATCACCACCACAGAAACTGGAGGCATATTTACCTCCAAGAACAAAAAACGACCACTCCTTTTTGGCCCCTTAACAAACTTCCAATCTGTTTAGGAGATATTCAAAAAAAAAATCTGATATGGCGGCAATCCCAGGAAGACCAAAATACCCTTGTACTGTCGACTCTAACATCCCACATACCCATTTAGATTTCCTCTAAAAATCTTTCCTTCACTTGGAATTTCTTGGATTAGCCTTTCTAAGTTTTCCCATTTTTTTAACATTTTCATCTAAACCCACCTAAGATGTATAAGCACTAATTGTGTTAGTGATTTCCTCCTTAAAATAAGTCTTATTCTATCACCAAATATTTAATTTCTTTAACCTTTTCTTTTCCTTTATTTAGTTTCCCGCAAGCATGCAATATTAATCCTTGTCCTCTTCAATGCGTTTACTAATTCCATGATCTTTCATGTTAGTTCCTATATTCCAAGTGCCTAAACGAAGTTGAGTTTCTTGAACTAACTTCTTTACCCGCCCCCATCCAAAAGGCTATGGAACCCTTTTGTATTTAATGCCACAACCTAGCATTGTTGTGGTGGGTCACTTCCCGGACCACCCTAGCATACCTTTGATCACTTAACATTACCTTAAGCAAAAGTTTAGTGCTGGCTGCCCAACTTGACACACCCCTCCTTTCTCCAGACTTGGGATCAGCAATGTAAGACAAGCTCACACTAGCAGAGTTTCTAATCATCATCATCATCTTCATCTTTCCCTAGATAATGATAATCATCATCTAGGAGAGGAAACAACCATGGAAGTCATCGTCATTAGTTAATCCATGCTTGTGTTTATCTTCTTGTTTGAACTTTCATCTTTCCCTAGAAAATAAGCTTATTTGATCATTTATAGCCTTTGATTTGTTTGCCTTTCTCTTTTTTCTGTTTCTTCTCGTTATTCTTTTAAATTATAAAATACAAGTAGCTTCTCATTTCTAGTCATATTAAAAAGTGGTTGATGAAAATTTTGAGATTTTAGTATGGAAAAGGATTTTTTTGTATTTTTCCTGAAGTTGAATGGGCTTTTTTAATGACTTTATTGAACCATTTATAGCTATAAAAGCTGTGGAAGTAGGAGTTGATGGGATCATTGTATCTAACCATGGAGCACGCCAGCTTGACTATGTACCAGCCACCATCTTTGCTCTAGAAGAGGTGATGCTTTGTTTCCTTAGATGAGAATAATTAGAATTAAGCAAAACCTCACTTACTCTAATGGCATGCTCAGTTTCACCACCATATAGCTATTTTCTTGGCCTTTTGGCATGTGTGTGACCAATGTGGCATATTTCCTGGATTTGACAGATGCTGATTGATTAAACTGGTACTTAAAGTAGTAAAAGCTTACTTTTTGTTCCAATATTACAGCATATGTAGTAAACTAATAATAAAATGAATAAATTATAAGATGAAAACTGTATTTTAACTTTATGCCATTAAATGCTTTATCAAACTTAAAAAAAAATGCTTATGTTGTGTTCTCTTGTCAAAGTTTTGTAATTGTTATTCTTCCTATCAATGTTACTTTCCAAAAGGGATCACTAACTGCCTTTTGAAACAAAAAATATGTAGAAGTTTTCTAGTAGCAAAAAATTGCAAACGAAAAGGAAAAGGAAAGAAAAGAGGAAGAGAAATAGAGAAGAGAGAAAATAGTAGAATAGGGTTGTTTTGTCTTGATTCAGTGCCCTCTACCATTATCTTTTATGTGATACGATAAACCTACAATGATGCCCTTAATCAGGTGGCTACTAGGTATCCCAAGTACAAAGACTAAAAAGCCCTTCCTTTGCTAACACTCCCCCTCAGGATAAGCATAGCTGTTATACATGCCCATCCCGCAAAGATTATCTTCAGGATTCATCTTAGGAACTTTTTAATGAGATAATTATCCAGTAGGTTTCTATATTTTACAAATGTTAAACAAGCCTCACCACTAGCAATACGTTCTTGTTAGTGTATATCAACTTCAATGTGCTTAGTCCAATCATATTGCACAGGATTGTGAGCAATGTTTATTTTATCTTGGTTATCACAAAATAACTTCCTAAGACTTTCAAATTCGAACTCCTATCTCATGTGAGAGAATCTTCAACTAGTGTAACTCAGAAACATTGTGGTCCATAGCTCTATGTTTTTCTCCTGCACTAAAACGAGCAAGAACAGACTATTTCTTGGACCTTTAAGAGATAAGATTATCACCAGAAAAAGTGCCATAAGATTCTATCACAATCCACTGCAGATGGATGATTTCTTTCAAAAAAAATACTTCCAAGCATCTAGTGTTTTCTTTTGACGGACTGCAGGTTGATCATGTATGGATGTTGACATCATTTGTATGGACAATGATGTCAGCAATATCTTGGGAATAGCACAATCAACAATACTCTGGTACCAAGCTTACCTGATATTTGAATGCAATTGACTGAATAAAAAATATGTGAAAATTTGAAAAGAAGAAGAGAGAAGAAAGGTTCAGAGAAAAACGGTTTAATCTATCTTGGATTCCATGCCCTAGTCATTGGTATTTGTATTATAATAAGTTATACAAAAACTCCTCAATAGGTACCCCATTCTTTTTTATTATAATGACCAAAATACCATCAATAAATGTACTCTCCACTTGACAAAGACTAAAGCAATATCTCTTGTTTTCCCTTTTTGGGATGGTTGCTGGGGTCACAGGTGGTTAAATCTGTTGGGAATAAAGTTCCTGTTCTCTTTGATGGAGGAATACGCCGTGGAACAGATGTTTTCAAAGCTATTGCTCTCGGTGCCCAAGCTGTTCTTGTAAGTCTTTTTTTAGCCTCAACCTTAGCTTTGTGTTTGCAAATAATTGAATGTTGGATATCTAGCTTTATAGTACTTGGATGCTGGTATTCCTCAGTTTCTTTGCTAAAACCAGATAGCAATCATGGCATTCGTATTGCATACATCTAATCTTGAAGAAAGTCAATATCACCTTTTTCTTATATGCTCCATAGTAATAAAGATTTTTCTACAGTGACTTTTCCACAAAAACAAGGGGGAACTGGTACCATCTCTGAAGATATGACAATATGGGCTGACCAATTGAACAATCAGTATCAATGCATGGCTTCAGTGTGTGGACAGTATGAATGTCCATCATCATGAAATACTCCTAAATAATACTATAAAATTACATCTATAATTATACATTTCTGTTGGTCTTTTTATTATTTGGGTATTCCATTATGTGATACCCCATTTTGTTACAGTTAGTAATGTAGCCAATTTGTTCCGTATTAGTTTTATGATTTTGTCTATATTTACCTTCTCATAGGTGGGGAGGCCTGTGCTCTATGGGCTAGCAGTCAAGGGAGAACATGGTATAAGACGTGTCATAGAAATGCTGCGGGATGAGCTTGAGCTGACCATGGCCCTGTCTGGGTGCTGTTCTACCAAGGAAATTACTCGGAGCCACATACAGACACAGCATGAAAGATTGAAGTCATTGCTATAACATTGGTGATAGGATGAATTTACCAAAAACATTAGTAATAGGGGGAGAATATATCCAGGTCATTTGCTTGTTTCACCACAGAGTGTCTGAGCTTATTGGAAAGAAAATAATCCATTTGCTCAGATCCGCCATCAGATCAACATTTTTGTGTTGCTTAATTGACTAGATTACTAGATTTCTGTTCTTGAATTCTTGAATGAAACTGGAATATATTGATTTTGTATTGTGAGGAGCTTATTGAAAAGAGATTGGGCTCAAATGGAAGACTTATTGTAACCACTCATTCTGCTCTCTTTCAACTCCACAATACTTAATGTCCAGGATGTATAATAGAACAAATGGTGATTGCTATCTGATCAGTGTCATTTAATTTATACATCAGATCAAACTGACCCATTGTATAGGAGAGAGACATTGATTTTAATTGCTCCATAAGGAGGCTTTTACCAGCAACTGTAGGTTCCACAGATATCCCTGTGGCACTGCGGTTAATGGAAGCCCATGACTCCAGAATAAGGTTTAAGTGTGCATGAAATTTCAGTATGATGTATGATCTGAGTGGGGTTAAATGGGGTACCTTGAAAAATAAGTTCATTTTATGGCCATCCAGATTTGTCCTAGAAGCAACCATCCCAGCAGACCACGACTCCAGAATAAGGTTTCATGGTGTTTTGAATTGTAAAACACTAAAACCTTTTAGTCTTTTCAAATTTATTTTCCAGTTTATTACTGTATTAGTAGGGTTAGTCATTTTAAAAGATCAATTTAGTTTTATTTTTTTATAGAATTTTTTGAAATTTTGTAAAGATGAAGGCACAATACGTCATTTTTCGTTTCAGTCTATTTTTCTTCTATTTTTTTTTGAACAAAAGCCATTGGCTAATTCAATGAGAAGCATCTTTTGACAGAACAGGTACAAGGAAACCTGGGGGCATAGACCAAGTGCAAGTTCTGGTCAAATAACAAGCCTTATTTGCAATTATATGAACAATCATGTTACTTGTACGATGAACGAAGGAGATAGAATGAGAAGAAAAGCTCTGCAAAAGTCTCTTGCATTCAGCTAGTGCATAATGTAACTGCCAAGCAATGTTTTCGAACCATTGTTGACCCGGACGATCAGACCGTTCTAGCAACCAATTCCGTTTTACCCCAAACTCGGCATTTGGTCAAAAACCGTTGAATTAGTCAACAAACCGTTGACCAGGATGGTTTGACCGGTAAACCGTTCGGCCCGGAGAACAGTTTGCTGCTTAGATCTCAGATCTGATAAATCTTCTCAGATCTGAGAAATTTATGAGATTGAGAAATCTCATATCTGAGACTGGAACGCCGTCGCCGCTACAAGCCTGCAAGTCCTCCCCCTCCTCTTCTTCTTCTTCTTCTAAACTCTTTCAGTTCAGCTGACAGTTTTCCTTCAAGTTTCAACCCTTATTTTCTTTTATATAGTATGCATCTTATCCTAATATTCCAATCTAATGGGTAAGATGCTCAAACCGTTTGATCCAGACGGTCAAACCGCTGACCCGGAAACCGGTGGCCAGAACGGTTCCATTTTCGGGTCAGTTTTTAAAACCTTGCTGCCAAGGAACCTCAACATGAAATGAACAACCTTTGCCCATCCTCATCAATAAGCAACTCATCTACACCTAATTCTGAAGCAAACTTGATACCTTCTAGAAAAGCTTGAGCTTCAACTAATGTAGTCCATTTTACACGATTTTAATGCCATTAGATAAGTCATCAAGCTTTCTAACTGGCCAAGATCTTGCAAATCTATTAAGGTCATATTATTGATGAGTGTTAGTTTGTCACAAGATTTGGCCCTTCCTCCTTTGGATCAGTGTTGGGATTGTTTTCAATTTGTTTATTTTTAGAGTTAAAAAGTCCCTATAAATAAATAAATATATATATATATATACTAGGAGGGACTTTTGCTTTGTTAAGCAAATGCTAAATAATAAAAACACATAAAGAGTATACAAATTTTTTATATTTTAACTTTTTAAATAATTATATTTTATATACTATTTTTAATAATCTTTTTATAATACAAAAATAACAATAATTAATTTCAGCTAGGATTGTTCATTAAATCAATGAAATTGACCAACTTGACCCAAGTTGGTCAGTTTATAGTATTTTCAATTGGCTTTGGTCCAACAATTTCCCAATTTAATACGGTAAAGTGGGAAAATTCTCATATTCCTTAGGATAAGATTTTTATATAACTAATTAATTTTTTTAGTTCACTTTTTTAATCATACCAATATAATTTTTTAAATTTAAATTTAATTTATAAGTTTAAATCTTTTGAATTGACTAACCAAAATGAAAATTGACCCAAGCCAATGCAACCAAAGTGTCAGCACCCGATTTTTTGCTAGGTTCGCCACCTGAACCTCAAATTTACCCCAAACGCCTGATTATACCCTCCTAGTCTCTCTGAAACACCTAAGAATTCCAACTTTCCTCCCCAAAGACCCTAATCCACTATTAAACCCATCTGATACCAATCCAATGGTCCCCGATTAACCCCCATTTACACCTCAATCCCCATATCAGACACCACCATTAAAATCAAGACCTTCCAAAATACCTACCCAACAAATTTCAACTCAAAATTCTTCCATTCATCATTTCATCAAATGAAGATTCCATTTTGACCCCTCTCATCAGTTTAAACACTTGGAACCCAGATTCCCTTGATCATAACATATCTGAACTGATCAGAACACACCATTAAACTTTGGATACACCAAAACACCTACCCATAAAGTTCCAACCCAAGATTCTCCTGTTTACCCTTTCATCAAACCAAGATTCAATTTTGAATCCCCTCATTAACCCAAATTTCTACGATCTTAACCCCCCTCAATCAATCAGACATTACCACTAGATCCCAAGGACACCCTAAAATACCCACTTGTAAAATTTCAGCCCAAAACACCTTTGTTTTTCCTTTCATTACACCAAGATTTCATTTCGAGGCCACATATCAATTGAATCAAACCCTTTTCTAGATCTTCCTGATCCGGGCACGATTGGACCAATTTGACCCTGTCAATCAACTCAAAATGTCCCAAAACCTCACCTTGCCAAATTTCAGTCAAAAAATACACCCATTTACCCATCCATTTGGAAATATTTTGTTTCGGCTAATCTCACTAGCCTACATACACAAAACCACTCTATGCGGTTAGACCCATCTCAACCCTCCTTTTTTGACCCAAAAATCCTCACCGCTGAACAAGAACCCCCCGGCTTGACCCCTTGAACCAGTTTTGACCCTACTCAAAAAATTACAAAAATGCCTTGAAGTTCACAAAATTATGAAAATACCCCTAGGATCAATATAAATTTAATTGGATGCTTCTAATTGCTCATATCTCTAGAATACATTGTTCACCATCATCTCTCCAGCTCGAACCATCAAAGGCGGTAGCGATTTCCCTCCTCCCTGCATCGGACTTCTTTCCCTTTCTCATTCTTTTTCTTCTTCTTATTTTAATTTTTTCGCTCTTACTATTCAACATCACTATTCATCATCTTCTTCGTTAAACAACGATGGCTCTCCATTTGGTCTCATCAAATGTTTTGTCTTTCTTTTTCTCTTTCTTGGTTGATTTCTAGGTTGACATTAAATTTTGTGTTACATTTCCATCACTGATAAAATTATTTCTTATCTATAAAACTTATTTTTGTTCAATATAATGAATGCACAAAATTATATTAGATATGTACCCAATATTTTATTTTTTATAAATATATAACATTATATATGTGCCCAAAATTTTCTCTATCTTTTTTTTTTTTTTTGTGATTCTTTGTATTTTCTATTATTAAAAATTTTATATTTGACTATGACATCATTTCATTTCTAGGTAGATTTTGAATTTGGCATTCCATTTTCATCATTAATAAAAATATTTCTTACATTTCATAGTTATTTATTTTATTTTTTTTATTATTTAATTATGGAATTATTTATTAATCCATTTAACCCCAAATGGTCGAATTGCTTACCCACCACCAAGAGGGAAGAAGATGGTTTTGTTTTCAAAATATTTATTTTATACTATTAAAATTAATATTATGAATTTAATTACAAGAATTTAATGATGAGAAAAATATATCTTAAATATAGGATTTAATAAGAGAAATAGGAAAATATTTTTATTTCCAATTGGTTTTAAATTTTACATTCCATTTCCATCATTAATAAAAAAAATTTCTTATTTATCATACTTATTATTATTTAATATGTATGTTAAAAATGTTCCCAATTAATATTTATTAATAATAGTTTCACTTATATCAATTAATAATCCTAGAAAATAAATAGTAGTTTTAAAATCTTAATCTATATTTATTATATATTTATATATACTAAAATTACTATTCATTGTATTTTAAGTGATTATTTATTATTTTTTTTGATAAATATATTTCCAATAATTATGTATAAATCTATTTTTGTTTTGTTATTTAACAAAACAAATCAATAATTATTGGAGATCAAAACTATGATATTTCTAAAATTCAAGTAATTAATATGAAGGAAAATTTCTCACATGTGCTTAATTACTAGTATAGATAAAAAGTGAGGGATAGGATAAATATGAATTATAGATAATTTAGAAGAAAGTGGGAGAGAGGATAAATAGAAATTACATATAATTTAGGAGATAAATAGGAAATAGAAACAATTTAGGAGAAAGTGGGGGATAGTGATGCCACTTGGCTAGACACTAGAAAAGGAAATCCCTCCTTATGTGGAATTCAAAAATAAAAATTAAAAAAAAAATGACAAATTTAGAAGGGGGTTTGGAGGAAGGAGAATTATTGTTATTAAGTGTAGTAAATGAGAATTATTGTTATTAAGTAATGATGATGAAAATAGATAAAAATACAAGGAAAAAGAAGATAATTAATGCTTAACCTATGACTACGCGTTGGTCAAGTCAAAAGATTAAATGGTTCAACTGGCTAGGTCATCACTAAGTTGTAAAATAAATTAGGGACATTCATTGGCCAGTCCAATTGGTTGACTCGATTGTGGGCTGTAAATATTCATTTTAATTAGGGAACTGAGTATGAATTCCAAAAGGGAAAAAACAGGGCATTCAGTGGAGCTAATTAATCTAAGATCTAACCTCATACAATATCCATATTAAGTGGACCAAACCTAGACTTAGAAACGTGTGTGTACACGCACACACACATGCGCATACACTAGTAGGGAATATGTGATGCACAGGCATTGTTAAACAAAATTCAAGTTGAAGGACCCATATGACATTTTCACTTGGGCAAAACCAAACTGATTATAATCCAAACATTATTTTTGGATAATGGGGTAATGTATTGTTAGATAAACTTGTATTAATTTTTATTATGGTTAGATAAATTGTTGTTAATTTTCACTATTCTATATCAAATTTAAATGAATCTTATTTTTTGCTAATTTTTATTATATTTTATTCATTTTCAATTATTTTAAATGATATTTAAATATAGATGCACCATGCAATTAATAATTTCAAGTTGAACGGCTAATTTAAAACATCTAATGAAATAGTACGCATGTATACTTACTAATACTTGTTAACTTGTTATAGTATTATTTATTAATACTTGCTTTAATTTTCCTAATTTATCTTAGTAATATTTTATTTTGACTAACTTGATGCATTGGCATTAGATACTATTAATTATTAATTTTTTACTACTATTATATATCTAAATATTTAATTAGTTTAATAAATTAACATGGCAGAATTTAGGAATCTCCATTTTTTTAATTAAAAGCTTGCTTTGGGAAAATTATTTACATAAAAGAAAGAAAATTTCAGTAACTTAAATTGGTTTTACACTTGACTATCATCATTAATCACGAAGATACCATAGAAATTGAAATTTGTCCAATATATGTAGAGGCATTATTGTAATTATATAAAACTATTTTCAAAATTTGTCTTAACAGGTTCCCTGATAGGGACTTCACTCCCCATTCGCATTCATATCTCTGATCAAGTATCCCAATTATTCCTTTTCCTTGCTGGAGCAGTCCCCATCCCAGGCTCAATTAGTTTAGGGAGGCCAAATGCTAGCGGTTATCCTAGTTAACTACATTAAGTTGGGTTATGTTAATTTCATTTGATTTTGTTAATTTATTAAATTAAATTGAATTAATTAATTCATCATGTTAGGTCAATTTACTAATTTACTAAATTGAATCATGTTAAGTAAATTAGGTCCACTTAATATAATAATTAGTTTTACATTTATCAAAAAATAAATAATTGAAGAGAGAGAGATAATGGACTAATGCAATAGGAGAAAGATATGTTTATAAATTTTTTAAATAATTAATAGAAGAGAAAGTGGGAGGGGGGGGGGAGTGGGAGAAAGAGAGACGAGGAGATGAGTGCAAATGTGCAATGATGTGGGGAGAGCGAGAGAGGGGTGAAGAAATAATAATAAACAAAATTAATAAAATTTTAAAAATAAAATTAAATTTATTTACCATTACTAAGTTTTATTAAATTTAATTATTTTAAGCAGAATTTAAATTGACTCTAATATAATAAAAATGATTTTAAAACTAGTATTTTTTATAAAATTCATTATTTTCTTAATTAATGTATATTAGTTTTTACAATTTCTAAATAGAATTTAAATGGAATAGAATTACAAATTTTATTAGTTATAACAACTAATAACTATTAGGAGATTATATAATTATTTTTAATTATAATAAGATTTTGTAATCAATTATTAATTTTTATTATTTCACTTTAATTGTTTATCTTGTTTTATTATCTATTTTTTCTTATTAGTATAATAGATATTTTAGTTATCTTATTAGTATAATAGATATTTTAGTTATCTTATTAGTATAATAGATATTTTTATTATTTCACTTTACATGTTATTCATTTAATATATTGTTCAAAATACTTTTCCATCCTCCTTAATTTCCTAATTTTTTATCAAGACTCTTGGATCTTCCTCTTTAATGTATCTAAATTAATTTAAATATAAGATTTTCTTTTTTATGAACTCCATTTTCTTCCTCTTTAGTGTCTAATTTATAATATTATTCATCACATGGTTTCAAAATTGGACCAGATCGGACCGAAAAACTGGTAACTGTTTAGGCCTCCGGTCCCGGTTATACTGAAAACCGCTAATTCATCGAAACCTATTGAAAAGTTAGAAAACTGCTGACCCAGGCGGTTGAACCGCTAAACCGTTCGACCCGGGCAATGATTCGCGGATTTATAATTTTGAATTTCACTGATTAAAAAAAACAATAAAAGCAAAATAAAAAGACCGACCCCAATTCATTCGTGAGCTAGGATTAGAACGAAAATGAGTTTCGTTCTAACTCTAACCCTTCCCAGCTCTGATTTAAAAATTTAAAGAACCAATAAAAGTAAAATCCACCGACGGCGATTTTTGTGAGCCCAACACCATTTCCACAGACGAGCTTTCTCGCAAGCTCTTTCTTCTCGAGAACATCTCGAAATTGAGCGGGCAGCAAGAATAAGAATCAACCTATCCTTAATCTGTTCCCATGTAGTCGGCATTCTAGAAGCGAAGCTTCCCAGCCGCCTGCCTCCTTGTGTGGAAATGCTTTTCATGATCTCCAGCTCTTTCCCACCAGCTCRTTCTCCACTAGGCATCTAGGCGAACCCGCCGGGTGAACTCAACGTAAAGAAAGTCAGTGAGTGCTTACTAATAGGGAAAGGCTAACATCTCTCTGTCAGAAGGCAAACATCAGGTAACTTCGTCCTTTTATTGTTTTCATGTTTTTGCTTCTGGAATCTGGTTTATGTCTTTTTTTTATGATTTTTGTTTCTCCTTTTGAATTCCTATTGATATTTTTGTGAGCCCAACATTTTTTCTTTTGAATTCGTATGCATTCACCTAAAATTTTGGATTCCATACTATTTTACTGAGATTCTCTATTTTAGTACTCTTTGCTTAATTATTATTTTTTGCTTAATTATTTGCATAATTAGTAACAGAGAGTCACATATTCACATTTGCTTAATTAGTCTTGCTTCATTATTTTTTTTTCAATTCCATGCATATTTGCTATGCCAAAGAAAGATGATAATGATGTTGCTTATGAATGATAAAATCCCTTTTATTTTCAATTAATTAATCAAATGGTGCTTATTTGCTTAAATTAATTGCTTCTTGATTCTTATTCATGATTTTTGTATTATTATTAATTTTTTCTTCTTGATTCATGCATGGATTTATTGAAGTAAGATTATATTGCTTATTTGCTATGTCAAAGAATGATGATGTCAAAGAAATGAAGAATGATAAAATCTCTTTTTATTTTCAATTAATTAATCAAATGATACTTATTTGCTTAAATTAATTGCTTCTTGATTATTAATTTTTGTATTTTCTGCACATCCTAATTTATGTTTTTTTCCGTATTTTTTCTTTATGTTTTGATTCTTTTGTGTTTTTCTGTATTTTTTGTATTTTCTAGGTGTTCTGTACTTTATTATTTTTGTATTTAGATAGTTTTGTTTTTCAGTGTTTTATTTAATTTTATGCTTTTTCTTGTTATTTATAAATATTTTTTATTTGTGATTGATTTATGATGTCACAGGTCAACCGTTAGACCTGACGGTTGAACCGTCGAACCAGAAAACAGACACCCAACTGGTTCTGTTTCTGGGTTGGTTTTAAAAACCATGGTTCATCATATACCTTAAATTTAGCTTCACTGACTTTCTTTTTAATTTCCTTTTTTATGATTATATTTTTTCTAAATATTCTACATTTTGTTTATTTTCCAATTTTTATAAAATACTTGTTATATTTTGGTTATATTTTTATCATCTTCATTCCACCCCCAAATTTCTTTGTCATTGTCATTTTCTTTTATATTCTTCTAAATGTATTTTCCTACTTTTTTTATACGTACCATTAGTTTCTTCATCTAAATTCCATTTTCTCCTTTTAAATTTGCCCACCTTAGTCTTGTACACATATTTTCCATTCTATCTTTTATTTTTTAACACACACTTCTACTGGCATTACTCTATCTTTTCAACACACTTTTAATTTTTACACCAATGTTGATGGAGGCCCATCTCATCCCTAGGGGCGGCAGCTCCTAGGATAAGGATAAGTTAACTAAGATCCAAGAATTCAAGATAAGCAAGGGATCCAAGAATCCAAGATTAGCAAGACTCTTCCAAGATTAGCAAAATAATGCAAGATTCTTCCAAGATAGAACAAGACTCTTCCAAGATTATCAAGAAAGACTCCAA